AATCATTTTCTTAATCAATTCCATTGATTCCATAATTTTTCTCTCTACACACAGACCTTTAATCAAACAATTAACAATCACGGCATTTGGGCTAAAACCCTTCTTCAACATCGCCCCAAAAACCGCAAAACTATCCGAAACCCTTTTGATATTACAGAAGCAATTCATAAAAATATTCAAAGATATTAAATCTGGAGACAACCCAGTTGAATTCAACAGCTTATATAGCGAAATCACTTCATAATAATGCTTCTTCTTAGCTAGTGCACTAAACAAAGTAGTGAATGATGAAATTGGANGAAGAAAGCTCAAAACTTCATTTCTTTTACTCAATTAAGCCGACATTTGAGCTAAGGCTCAGTAGATAGAAGTCACATAAACTTTAATTCAACATTGTTTTCACCATTTAAACCCAAAAGATAAACACTTCCTCCTTTCAAACGAATCCATTTAATTTTTCTCTTTATACTTTCTCTCGTTAACCATAAACCCTAAGTGATCAAAATTTAATCATGAAACCAATAACAAGAACACAAAATGAAAAAACTAAAACATACCCAGTTGAAATAGAAACTTCATCTCGAGCCCACTCTTGCCACATAACAGGAGTCAATGGAAAAATCTCATTCATATCTTCTCTTGCTTGTCTCAGCTTCTCAATCTCACCCATCTATACTAAAACCACCAACAAAAACAATAAAAAAGCAAACCAATAATATTACCAAAAACAAAAATCCAAGAACTAGGTATTGAAATTCATATTCAAATTGATATAAAAACGTACTTGAACATGGACTTCATAGTTGGAGGGTTCATTGGCGAGCTAGGACTCGATGTCTTGAAGCTCAAATTTTTGTTGTGTTCATATTATGAGTCTGAGTCCGAGTCACTTGAGTCTCTTGAGTCTGGAGACTTGGGCTCTGTTGCTTTTGGGTTTTTGTTAGTATCCGCCATAACCGTGTCTGTGTCTTCTTCTTCTCAAGTTTTTGGCGCTAGGGTTTGATCTTTTGGTTCCGTTCTTTTGCTTCATTTGCTCTGTGTTTCTCTCAAGTGTACTGAAGGGTTGGGTTTATTGCAACGATCCCGTGAAATTTCCCCTAATTTTTTAAAATCACACTTCACCCCCATATATATATATATATTCTAATTCTAATAGGGAAGATTTCCTGCTAGTAATTATATTCCTTTGATATAAGAAAAAAAAATAGAGAAAAAAAATAAAAAAAATAAGAAAATAAACTAAACTAAAATAAAATCCTAAATTTATGAAGAAAATTATCTTATATGGTATCCATTTTGAAAGGAAGACAAATTATTTTGGTATTATTTTATTTCTCGGATGTAAAAAAGGTTAACCGTTTATTCAAATTGTCTTTCTTATCCTTTACACAATCATTAATTGGAACAAAACTCCATTAGGGGTAGAATTGTTAGTTTCCAGACCATAGAGGTGACCGGGTTCTAAACCACAAATTGTCTAATTATTTAAAAAAATTAAATATATATTTATTACCAAATCCTTTTTCTGAAAACAAAATACTGCATATCATAAATTCAAATGGAAATATGCATATAAAAGTCCATGGGTGATAACCCTCATGTAGTAAACATCATTACATGCAGCATGACATGCAAAATGAAGCTGTCGCCTAGACCCAACCTCAAGCGAAAGTCACTACTCAGCATGATTCCTGTGTTGACCTAAAAATACTCAATGAATATATGATTTTGTAAAACATTTTTTTCTTTACATATACTTTTCTGAAAATATTGTCTCTGTAATTATGGTACAATTATCTGAATTATTTCTTATAAACTGATATTAGTAAACTAGAGATATATTATATATTTTCTCTGATTTTGTATTTTTAATGTCTAGTATCTAGTACTGAAACTATTATTATTAACTGTTTACTTTATTAGTTCATTTATGATACATTAAAACTAATAACTGATAAATGAACTGATACCATGAACTAATAATTGTTCTAATATTGTAAAACGGAAAATTGATCTGATAGTATAAAACAAATAACTGATACTGAACTAATCATAAATGTTAACTGATACATTAAAAAATATGATCAGCACATATCAAGTGATTAAACATTCAAACATACACCCATCTNAAGGGGTTTTTTGAAAGACTACGAAACTTCATTTTGGAGCTTGAAGATGTGAGGTTGTGTAAGTGAGCTAACAAAAATAAAACATGAACTATCAAAGATGGGTTTTGAGAGATTGAAGACGAAACTTCAAAATTGCAAACTTATGTCAAGTATCGATCTTTCCTATTCAAACCACCTTTATGATTTCGAAAATTGAAGGTTAAAAATGTAAATCCACATTCAGGTGTTTTTCGGTTTGAGATGGTTTTCTACTAAATCCAAAAATGCAACCCAAACAAACCAATTTATCTAAGTATTCAATTGGAATTTTTTTTTACCTTTTTTAAATAAAATTATAAGATTTAAATAAATCATGCTATTGAGCTTTGTATTTAAATAAATTATAAGATACATAATTTTTTTATTAATTTTATAGATATTTATTAATTTTATAGATATATGTTCTAGTAGACTAATAGTTTTTTAATAATTTACAATTTATATGTTATGAATTAGGGGTGTTCAAAAGAACCTGTTGGAACCGGAACCGGCGGGTACCCAATGTTTGGTTCCGGTTCCTACCACAAACCAACCGTCAACGGGTAGGTTCCGGTTCCAAATTTTTGGAACCGGAACCAAGAACCAAGAACCGAGACTAATATAAAATAAAATTAAAGATTAGGGGGGTTAATAAAAACTTTTGTAGAAAAAGTAATGTGAATACATTTATATTTATATTTCATAACATTTAAAGTAAGTTAGTTTGACTTCTGAGAATCTACCTTTACAAAGTAATGGAGTTTGTAATTTTGAATTTATAATTTGTAATTTTATTTTTGTTAACAAGTGCCAAGTGGGGAGGGGGTATTTGTAAGTTTTTAAGGGTTTTTTTTGCCATTTTAAAAACTTTTGGGGGGTCATCACTTTTATAGGTTACCCAGAACTGGAACCGGAGCCGTTGTTACAGGTTTCGATTCTGGGTACCTAGGAATCGGAACTATCGGTTCTAGTTCTGGTTCCAAATTTTAAGGAACCGTCGGTTCCAGTTCTGGTTACGGTTCCTTCAAAAAATACAAGGTACCCGAAACCGAACACCCCTATTATGAATGTACTTCTTATAACATTGTAATCTCTATTATGACCCTAATTGCTTGTAAAATTTGGAAACAATAGTATCCATCAAAACTAAATTCTAAAAACAATTACAAAATTTCTGACAACAATGTTTGGCACTAGGCTTTCAATGAGAGAAATTTCTAAAATAGCTACCGAGCAGTTTCAGATATCTTTGTTTTACATAATCCATCAAAGAGGGAATTCAAGCTTTCAAGGTCAATTGCAAACTTAATATTTACTAAAGTATGAAACATTTCCACTTCTTCCAAAACACATCCATTCTTGCAAAGTCCATCAATGAAAATGCTATGTGTCCAAGAATAAGGTAAAACCATTAAGTTGCATCTCACCAACTAATTTCTGTGCATCTTTTACATTGGTTTTAAGAAAAAGGCAAGTTAGCAAATTGTTATTTATAATCACATTAGGCCTAATTCCTTCAAAAAATCTTCTCTTGATAAAGACTAAGAACTTCATTGACTTCTTTATTCTTGCAATACCATCTGATTAAAGTATTGTAGCAAACAACATTGGGTCCATATCCCTTTCTAGTTAAAACTTATTCATTTATAAGATTAGTTTTTATGTTGTTTATTAGAGACTATTATTAGAGGTGCATCATGAGGCAGCAAAGTCGGATTTGAAGTTCATTAGAGACTATACTTCCAATAATAGATGGAATCAATTAGAAGAGAGAAAAATTTTATAGCTATAAGACTTTTATATTCTAACTTTTCAATGCATCATATTCTACGAGAGAATTAATGAAATATGAGATATAATCTTGAACTTTTCTCTCAATGTTTTGACATACTAATTCTTTCAATTAATCTCTTATTCAATGGTAGTGGATGGATCATTATGTATTTATTTAACATTTTTTTGTTGTTTATTGTTTAAATTTTCCATCTTAATCCTATGAACCACAAATTTTATGAGATAATTTTAATAATATTTAATCACGATGCTCATAGAAGCCAAGTTAATTTCAAGGGAATCCATGAATTTTAATGTTAAGCATTTATAATTAGTGTTTGCTTATTGATTAAAATTTTCTTACGTCAATCGAGAACACAACTACTTTTATAAATTCAATAATGCTTAATAAAAAAAATTACTATTAATTTAATCTCCTTTATAAAAATATTATTTAAGTGCAAAACATTTAACTTTAAGCATGCATAAACTGATTACGTATATTAAAAGCAAGAAAGACCACAAGAAATTGAAATTATAAAGAAATTTCAACAACAATTTTGTTGATAAACAACTTGACCTAAAAGTTTAAGCTAAAAAGGTATTAAGCTTTGTAAGAGGCATCTTCACATGTTACATAAACCAAGCCCAAATTCAGACATAAAGACCAACCCAAATAGAGCAGGATGTAATACATGAGAGATTCAAATCANTAGTTGAAGTAAGAACCATTCCACAATTCCTCATATACAACTTTTGCTTACTGAAATTTGCACCAAAAATAATCCTCAAACCCTTAAGACCTACTTCATGTGCAAATCTTGACACGGGCCTGCAATGCTACCACTTCCACTATATGCACTTACAACAGAGACAGATCACGTATGGTATGTTTGATCAGGGAAGCCATTGTTCTCAATCTTCCTCATCACCATCCCTATGAAATTTGAATAGATGAAAGTGTTTGCTAAATCTTCTTCTTACCATAACCAAAATAAAGCATTTAGGTAGTTAGTTGAACTTTTGCAGGACTCTATTCTATAAAAAGTGTAATACTCACCAAAGTTTTATCACAAAACTCTAATTTTGCTTTTGGACCGGAAATTGAGGAAGATCATTCAAACATTCACGATAATTTTTGGCCTTCATTAGTAATTGCATGACTAAGGACATTGTACATTCAGTCGGCATCACATTTCTCTCTACCATCTTATGAAGGGGTTCAACAACTTTTGGTATCTCATTATTCTTGAGGAAACCTAACATGAGCGTAGTAAATGTGACTACATTTGGAGCACAACCTTTTTCCTCCATATATGACAACAACTCATTTGCCATTTCTAGTTGTCCATTTTTACACAGCCCACTGATCAAAATGTTATACGTTACAAAGTCTGGGACCAGGTTTCCATGAAGAGAAAATTTCTGAAATAGGTCCCAAGCAGTTGCCAACCTCTTTGTTTTACATAATCCATCAATGAGGGAATTCAAACCTACAATGCTAACTGCAAACTTATTATTTACTAGAGCATTAAACATTTCCAATGCTTCCAAAACACATCCGTTCTTGCAAAGTCCATTAATAAAAATGTCATATGTCCAAGAATCAAGGAAAACATCGTTAACTCCTATCTCACCAACTAAATTCCGTGCATCTTTCACCTTAGCTATAAGAAAAAAGCCAGTTAACAAGGTGATATAAGTAATCACAAAAGGCCTAATTCCTTATAAAATCATCTCTCGATAAAGACTAAGAGCTTCATTGACTTCTTTATTCTTGCAATACCAATTGATTAAAGTAGTGTAGCAAACAACATTAGGCCTATACCCCTTTCTAGTTATAGAATCAAACAACTCCTTTACATCACCAATTCTATCTGTCAAGCAATAATCGTTCATTAAAATGCTATAGGTATAAATGTCAGGAACCACACCTCTCTGAATCATATGTTCCAAAAATAATTGTCTAGCCTTCTCAACCAATCCAGCCTTGCAAAGACCATCAATTATAGTATTATAAGTAACAACATCTAGCCTACAAATAACACTAGATTCTTTATTCCCATTAACCATCTCTTCAAGCAACTTAATGGCAACACTTATCTTCCCTGTTTTACACAATCAACCAATCAAAGTGTTGCAAGTGATCACATCAGCCCTACAACCAACAGCAATCATTTTCTTAAACAATTCCATTGATTCCATAATCTTTCTCTCTACACACAGACCTTTAATCAAACAATTAAAAGTCACGACATTTGGGCTAAAACCCTTCTTCAAAATCGCCCCAAAAACCGCAAAACTATCTGAAACCCTTTTGATATTACAGAAGCAATTCATCAAAATATTCAAAGATATTACATTTGGAGACAACCCAGTTGAATTCAACAGCTTATATAGCGAAATCACTTCATAATAATGCTTTTTCTTAGCTAGNCAAAGCGAAAACCTCATTCTCGATTCTACGAGAAATTTTATGAAAGCATCCAATAGAATCATGAAGAGTCTAAGTGAAACAAACATAATCATATGAGATATGGATATTCTTTCAAAACAAACAGTAAAATTGAATATATGTGTGTGGAAATTTTAATTGGGCGAGCATACAGATGATACTCTTCATATTCTTCCTCAGACATTTTCCAGACCAAAGACATTTTTTCACATTTTCCACAAGCATAAGATGCAAGGCCATTGCTGTTTCTGTACACAAACTCAATAGTGCTCTAGGGGTCCATCATTGGGTTTAGGGTTTAGGGCCTGTGGAGACTATTTTAGGCCATAATGATTTCTTCAATTTGCACACTTTTCTATCCTTTCCACTCCTTTCAACCCCTAGTGGCATTTCCATGTATACCTCTTTTGCAAGTTCACCGTTCAAAAATGCGTTTTTTTCAAATCTAGTTTTTGTAAAGGCCAGTCTAGATTTGCTGCAAGAGACGAGCACCCTGATATTGTTCAACTTGGCCATCGGAGCAAAGGTCACCTCATAGTCTACTCCGTAGGTTTGCATAAATCCCTTTGCCGCCAGCCTTGCCTTATACCTTTCAACTGTTCCATCTGCCTAATACTTAATAGTAAACACCCACTTACAGCTCACAGTTGTCTTCCCTTCAGGTAAACTCACTAGCTCCCAAGTCTTGTTTTTTTCTCAAGAGCCTTCATCTCTTCTATCACAGTCTTCCTCCACTTTTCATCCCTTAATGCCTCATGTACCGGTGCTGGAACCTTCACAATTGAGAGATTAGTAATGAATCCCAAAAAATCATCTGCCAACTTATCGTATGCCATATACTTAGCAATAGGATGAAAAATTACAGGATCTAACACCCTTCCTTAATGCAATAGGTAAATGTAAATCATCATGCCCTGATTTAGACTCATCAGAAGATGGTTCTTCCCTACCTTGTGACTGTGAATCACTGGTTTCTTCCAGTTGGGATGATTGCTCATGCAGATCATTAGGTTTCCTTCCACTTTGAAAGTCAGTTCTTCGAGAATAACATTAGAGACTCGGCTAATTTAATCTCTCCAAACCTCCCCCTGGTTCCACTCTTTCCTGAGAGTTTGGTTTATCAAGAGTGGGCTATATAGTTAGAGTAGGACCTAAATTGGTAGGCTAACTACGAGACTGACTGATCCTTATGGGACTAGGCTGACCTATAGGAACTAACATAAACTAGGCTGACTAGGAGACTGGCTCATTCTTATTGGACTAGGCTGACCTATAGGAAACTAGGTGACTTTGAACTTTGACCTAGACTGGGAGACTACTGAGACTGACTCAAGTGTGGTTGTAAAGGTAACAATACTTCCCATGAATGACCTTCACAATCTCTCAAATTCTCCCCTGAAGGGAAGTAGGAAACAATGGATGTGACTCAAAAAAGCAAACATCACTAAAGACATATAATTTTCTCTTTGTAGGACAATACCACTAATAGTCTTTATGTGTTGGAGAATTGTAGCAACTGTTGTAAACTAGTAAAATGTATGCATAATAATAATAAAAAATGGCTCAAAAAAATTTTCTTCTAATTATATGTAATAAGTCTTTTATACTCAAAGAGCATCATTTACAAAATGCCATTCAAAAGACAAAAACAGGGGAAACAGTGTAGCTATTGCTCCTTGCTTGTCGACGCCCCTTCGACTGCATCATCACCTAGATCCTGCATCCACAAAGGAAAATAACAGGGTGAGCACAAAATAATGCTCCGTAAGTAAATCCTCTACTTGTCTATCCCCGTAACCATTACTCTTAATTCTTTCATCACACTTTTTATTTCTGTTTCTCTTTCACACAGCTCTCTTTCTATTAAAGGTCATGGCCTCATCTTACCGAAGGCATGGCCGGATGGTGTTCACACAGCACCATCTCACTCTTCATGACTGTCGGGTGGAGTTCACACAACACCAACCCGTTCTTAGTGACTACCGAGTGGGGATCACAAAGCACTTACCTGGTTTTCATAACCATCGGGTGGAGACCACAAAGCACCTACCCATTTCTCATAACTATCAGGTGACGATCACAAAGCATCAACCCATTTCTAATAACTATCAGGCGGAGACCACAAAGCACCTACCCGTTTCTCATAACTATCGGGTGACGATCACAAAGCATCAACCCATTTCTAATAACTATCAGAAGGAGACCACAAAGCACCTACCTGTTTCTCATAACTATCGGGTGACGATCACAAAGCATCAACCCATTTCTAATAACTATCGGGCGGAGACCACAAAGCACCTACCCATTTCTCATAACTATCGGGTGACGATCACAAAGCATCAACCCATTTCTAATANGAAAGGGTATTTTGGTAATTTCACAGTGCAATTAAATTTGCTGAGGTCGTAGCCTTTATTTAATTTGTTAGAAAAAATTAAATAAGTGAAATTCCGTTTAAATATATGTTCGCATATATTTAAATAAATTATCATTATTGTTAAATGTTAATATATATATTAAATATATATTAATTGATTTTAATTGAAATAATGATGAATTAAATTAAAATATCTAATTGGGAGTGTTTGGCAAATTTGGGGTGTTTGGGTTGAAGCCCAAGCCCATTCCATATGGGAATAGGGCAACTAAATTAACAACTATAAAAGAAAAGGTTTTAGCTAAAAATGGATGTGTGTTATTTTATTTCATTTTTCATTGAAAAGGAAAAACCCTCAAGCCTTAAACACTCTCACTCTCACGCCACTTTTTCTTTTGCAAAAATCAAAGTTCTTCTTTGGTTTGTTTTTCTTGATTTCTTAAGGCCAAGGAGGATCTAACAAATCTCTCCTTGGTTCTTGTTGATTGTCTTCGTGTGGACCTCTACGGTTCGATCCTACACTTGGATCGGTAGCAAACACGTTTAGAGACAATATTGGTGAAGCCTCCAAACGTGGGTATGGTTTCTCAAACCTTGAACTAATTTTCTGCAGATTTGATTATTTTTGTATAAACTGTGATTTTTGTACCCGGATCTTGGTTCTAAGGAACGATCCATAGAGTTTATGTTTTTGTTTTCCGCTGCGTAACTGGGTCGTTTACTAACACAAACCTCACTTCTTAAGGATCATTTCTTTGAACTTATTATTTGACTTCGGCTTCCCATCTTCCATTTCCCCAGCTTTTGAATTTGTTGAGGGGACACGAAGTGGTCTGACGTTCCTTGGCATTGCAAATGTGTTCCTCCCCTTCACCAGAATGTTATCACTATGTTTATTAGCAGCAGAGTGTGGCGCTCTAGACTCCCTAAAAGTTTGATTACTACTTTGCGCTACCATTTAACACAGAGGAGTAAGACAATGAAATGTAGAAGTAATAACAAACATCTATGGACTGCATTGGACACAAACAAACACACACAAGTAATAACAAAGATAAAACGTAATTCCACTTAGCCTACCATGTTCTCCAGAGGCGCCATGACTAGCAGAATCCTTTCTCTTTTGCTTCGGATTTGATCTTGCAATGCTTATTTTCTTCCCAAGAAACATTTGTTTGTTCTTTCCTACAGCGGCAGCAAGGTGTGCATCATCGGCAAAATCCACATATGCCAGGCCCTTCAAAAATTGAACAGGGGAAATTATAAATTAGTATGCAACGGTCCCCGACATATGCTCTACAGTTAAAGGCAAGCTAGAATATGGGTAAATCGGTATGGGACTATAGCTGAGTCTCCAAAGCATATCACTTGCTATCAAAATGAAAAAAACATGCTCTTAGACAGTTAGATTCTTTATACTTAGAAAATTCAACAGTTTTACCATAATTATGGAATTCAACCCTTCTGCAGGTTTATTTGAGACTGCATAACTGTCTCTGGAAAGGACATTCATCTTAAAACCAAAAGCGTAAGAACTAAATGATTTATTGATTGCATGAAAGGAAGAAATCAAATTGAAGTTTTAGTGAGCACCCTTGAGAAATATGATCAAAGAGAATATACTGCATTTAGCAGTTTCAATCTCCCTAAAGCATTAGCCATGCTGATCTCCCAGTCTCAATAAAATTAGTTTCTTAGGGCTAATTTATGTGGTACAGTCCACTTGATGCATACATATGTTGAAGTTTAAAGGTCAGGCAATGTTAAATAAGGATTTGACTGTAAGACTAATGTGCACATGGAAGGTCCAGTGGATAGCTTCCCCTTTTTCATTTGAAGCATAAAGCATAAAGAACATTGACAAATAATGAATGAGAGAAATAGAGTCATACCCCTGACTTTCTGGTGAACATGTCCTGCAGAATTTGAACAGATTCAACCCTACCAACACCGCTAAAGATTTTTTTCAGATCTTCAAAAGTTGCCTTAAAAAAATTTAAAACCATCAAAATTATATCTCTGTATTTGCCTATCCAGCATTGAAAAGGAATAAAAAGCAATCTCTCTCTGATGTGCGAGAGAATCTCTACTTGCCCTGAAGTTAAGGTTTGATAAAAATGCAGTACACTTGTCAGTGTATCCTTTGGCTCTTCCAGTGGTGGAGTCTTTGATGTGCTGGTCATTTGGATGCTCTTCAAACTTGGGTTTTGCTTCTACTTCGTTTTCTTTAGCTAAGTTCTGTGCTCGTCCCTTTTCTTTCCCATGCACTTTTTTTGGGTTTTGGGCAGTGTCTTTCTACCGCTTAGCTGGAGACTATTCGTCAGTCATGTTTGTTAGGGCCAAAAAATGTCCTTGGCCCAAATAGGCCTAAAGATGGAGACACCTCTAACAAAGATAAAAGCGCAGGCTCAATTCCAACGGGGCCCAAATCAGAATTCTGTAGATGAGGCCCACTCGGTATGCTCTTCCAACCCCTCACCATCTGGACCTACGCCTCTTGATCCTGGAACACCTACTAGGCTTACGATGAACTCAGAGCCCACAGTCACCTACAAAGTACACTCATACTTGAACTCTGATAAGGAAGTCAATTATTATCCCAATCCCTCCAAGATCCGTATCTAAGGCACGCTCGAACTCCCTTTCCTACTAAGATAAGGGAGCCAAAGGTTACACCCTTTGAGAGGACCACTACTACAAGGACTCCCAGTCCCACCACGATTCGAAGACCATACAGTCCCTATTTAAACAGAGGCTAGCCCTCTCACAAGGGACATAAACATTACACCTTTAGACCCTAAAGTTCTCACTTGAGAACTTCGCATTACAATTGTAGTCATAGTCCCCGACTAGACTTCCGATAATCTTTCCTCTCCCTAACCCTCACTAATCTAGCCTCACTCAGCCTTGCTGAATTGAGCGTTGGAGATAAGAAAGAGATTCATAGAATTCCTCAAACAAAACTAGGACTGCTTCACCTAGTCCTGCGTTGACATGATAGGAGTCAGCTCAGAAGCAATCGTCCACCACCTCAAAGTAGACCTGGATCACCCCCCAGTAAAGTAGAGGCATAGGAAATTCGCACTAGAATGTAGCCGGATCGTCAATGAGGAGGTCAAAAAATTACTGAATAATAGCCTGATCAGAGAAGTCCACTATCCCGACTGGCTGGCAAACGTGGTGGTGGTGAAGAAAAAGAATGAAAAATGGAAGGTCTGCATAGACTTCACGGATTTAAACAAAGCATGCCCTAAAGACTCCTTCCCGCTCCCGCATATTGCCATGATGGTCGATGCGACAGCCGACCACGAACTTCTAAGCTTCATGGATGCCTTCTTAGGGTATAATCAAATTTTGATGCACTAGGACGACCAAGAGAAAACAGCCTTTATTATAGAGAGTGGGACCTATTGCTACAAAGTGATGCCATTTGGCCTCAAGAACGCCGGGGCCACCTAT